CCAGTCTGGGCAAACTCTTCTTCATTCACAAGCCAGTTCCTCTGTGTCCTTCTTAAACTAAAGTGCTCCGCGCTCCAGACCCCCCACCCAAACGACGCTAAACACCCTCTCTGTTTCCGCAGTGTATTGTCAAAATTTTGCCCCGAGCTTCAAGGAAAGCGAGATGAACGTCATCGCGGCCGACATGTGCACGAACGCCCGCCGGGTCCGGAAGCGTTGGCTCCCAAAGATCAAGTCCATGCTGCCGGAAGGGATGGAGATGTATCGCTCCGTCATGGGCTCCACCCCCAGCGGCGTCCCCCTGGACCCCGAATTCCAGGCTTCCGCTGGTCAAATGTTTGAACAACGCATCTATGCAGAAAGGAGGGGCGAGGCTGGAACGATCGTGGCTCTCAGAACTAACCCCGTCTCTGTGGATCAAAGCAACGGAGCTAGCCAGTTGTTTGAGCCGAGCGACGGAGCCGAGGGAGGCAACTCCGTCATCCAGGAGTCGGCCGGCCCCGAAGCGTTGGCTTCCGAGACCCCGAACACCGCAGAGCCTTTCGATCAAGGGTCCGGTTCCAGCAGCCGGCCAGAAACGCCCGGCCGACGACCGGACGGCGCCTACGGAGGGACTTTATGAGAGCAAGCGAGGGTAACGTTGGGGGGCGACTGACGTTCTTGGGATCTATACTACTAAAGCTGCTTGCATGCATTATTAATACAAGAGAAAAAAAAAGAAATGTGATCAAAACATTTACCTACTGAACTGCTACTGTTGCCTGAGAAAAATGTGATTTTTATTCTGCTTGTGTTTTAAGGTTTATGAAGGAAAACATCACATTCATTAGACTGTACGCAACCCCAGGTCTAAGGCAAGCGATGTATGGGGAACAACAACAACAGAAAAACACTCTCTCTCGAAAAAAAATACAGTAGGGCCCCCCATATCCAAAGGGGATCGGTTCCAAGGCCCCCCTTGCAGATGCTAAAAAAATGTGGATTGTGGATTATATAGCAAACGCTAGTTTAATAGCGAAAGCTATATATTGCATGGCCTCTGGCTGCCTCTTGGGGGCCCGTTCTAATAACTTCATCTTGAGAAAAGTATATTTCTAAGTTTTTTTCTTTTAATATGTCAAGTATTTTCAGACTGTGAATAAGTAAATCTGCGGATACTGATCCTGTGGATAAGGGGGTCCTACTGTACCCAAGGTCAGTATAGAGGACTGTAGTTTCTCTCCCCTCCCCTTTTTTTGCAATTCCACAAGAGCGAAACACTATCTCCAGCCTTCACTAACCACCACCCTTTTTTCCATTCCAATATTTCGCTCCATTTCCTAAGCAGGAAGATGCAGGCTGGGTCCTTTTATTATTAGTATTATTATTATTTTGGAAGGGGGCTACCTAGGAGACAGGGAGGTGCAAGAGAAGACGAGAAGACTGCAAAGGGAAAATCCTGAAACTATGGTAGTCGTACTGTTGGGTTCTGTTTTGTGCTTTGCACAACTCCCATGCTTGGATCTTCTGTTTTAATTGTGGACAGACGGGGCATCGAGAGTGGAGATGTGCTTGCAAAAATGACTTCATCGAAAACCCGGTCTCCATGAGCAGCGCTTCTCACGGGACCCACAATACTTGCCTGAGACCCAGATCTTTAGGTCAGAGAGAAAGGCTGAAATCGCACTGTATATCCCCCCCCTCCCCAGCTTCCCTTGTTCAGACTCCTCGCCTAGAGTTGGCGTTCGAGAATTGCTATCCCATTTGTTGGGTTTGCACTCGGCGTCGCCGGCGCTGCCTGGTTTTCCTCTACCTTTTGCATTGTTTTCTTCCTTTCCGTTGGGTCCCGGGTTTAAGGGATCGGGGGATCTCCGGTCCCCGGGCTTCCTCCAGAGTCAGCCAGTGTTTCCGGCATGTTGTGAAAGGCCAGTCCTCGACCCCTTTTGCGAGAATTGCTATCCCATTTGTTGGGTTTGCACTCGGCGTCGCCGGCGCTGCCTGGTTTTCCTCTACCTTTTGCATTGTTTTCTTCCTTTCCGTTGGGTCCCGGGTTTAAGGGATCGGGGGATCTCCGGTCCCCGGGCTTCCTCCAGAGTCAGCCAGTGTTTCCGGCATGTTGTGAAAGGCCAGTCCTCGACCCCTTTTGATCAGAACACTTTTGCATTGTTTTCTTCCTTTCCGTTGGCTCCCGGGTTTAAGGGAATGGTGGATCTCCGGTCCCCGGACTTCCTCCAGAGTCAGCCAGTCTTTCCGGCATGTTGTGAAAGGCCAGTCCTTGACCCCTTTTAATCAGAACAATTCCTTCCTGCAGCGTTGTGTTGATGGCAGGCTCACAACGCACCTTGTACGGTCCGGAGTCGGTGGTGGGTCACAGATGTTTTCTGAAGAATACCTAAGATTCATTGTACGTGTGTGTGTGTGAGAGAGAGAGAGAGATGCACAAAACATTCCAAAATGACTCTGAAAGGCCAGTCCTTGACCCCTTTTAATCAGAACAATTCCTTCCTGCAGCGTTGTGTTGATGGCAGGCTCACAACGCACCTTGTACGGTCCGGAGTCGGTGGTGGGTCACAGATGTTTTCTGAAGAATACCTAAGATTCATTGTACGTGTGTGTGTGTGAGAGAGAGAGAGAGATGCACAAAACATTCCAAAATGACTCTTCTGGAACTGAGAGAGAGAGAGAGAGAGAAATGCACAAAACATTCCAAAATGACTTTTCTGGAACAAAATGTTGGGATGGCTTTGGCCCACATCAAATCCGCAATGCGCACCGCCATCGCCCATAATTCCCTTTGAAAACAAGCAGGCAGGAAGCCTTTATCTTGTTCCAAAGCCGATTGGCGGACCCGTTGGGTCCCTGTTTGGAAAAGGGTGGCTATGCATTTTCAGAGGTTGGTTACTCCTCAGTTCTAGAACGGAGCCCCCAGTAGGTAGGAGGGAAGCCCCCCCATTGGAGTGGCGTGAACATCTAGCGTTCTGTTGAGACAAGGGCAGGCGACACGTTGTGTGTGTGACCGTGCATGTTGCGACACGATTTGCGGTGAACGTAGGGAGCAGCTATGTACCGTATTTTTCCGTGTATAAGACTATACTTGTGTCTAAAACCTTTATACTAAGAATTGAGGGTCGTCTTATACACGGAAGTAAGCTGAGGAGAGAACAAAAACAAGTGGAGGGGAAAGCAGGGATCAAAGCGATCCTGCAGCGCCTTGATCCCTTTCTCCCTACACTTGCTAAGCCCCACTTAGATTTCTTAATTTTGGATTAGATAAGTGGGGGGTGTCTTATACACGGGGGAGTCTTATACACGGAAAAATACGATACGTTCTTTCTATTGGTTGGATTTAGAAAGTGATTATGACAGCCGGGGTTCTTCAGCGGATCTGCCACTACTTGCCAACATTGTTGGGAGCAAGGAACATCTGCCTGAATGTTTTCACTTACAAGAAAACTATTGTTTTTAGCAATACAGTAGGACTCCTGTATCTGTGGGGGACTGGTTCCAAGCCCACCGGAAGATGCAGAAAAATGCAGATTATAGTGGATCTTATACATAGCCTGGTCTCTGGCTCCCTCTCGTGGCCAGTTCTGGCAACTTCATCTTGATAAATCTATTTCTAGGATTTTTTTTTTAGTATATTTAATATTTTCAGACCGTGGATAGGTAAATCAGTGTAATATTTTCAGACCGTGGATAAGTAAATCGGCAGATTCTGAACCTGTGGATGTGAGGGTCCTACTGTAGTTGATTTTTGTGTGTGTGTGTTTTTTCCAAATGAAATACCCTACCAAAAGCAATGCGCCCAAACCATGCCCGCTGTCCTGGGAGTCTCGTTGATTGAACTAGCAGGGCAAAAATAAATAAATACTTGAACGGCTTAGGAGAGAATCCGAAGAGATTGTCATGTTGCACAATTAGAATATATTTTTATACCAAGCACAATTTCATGTACACTTTCCTTTCAGTTTGATTTGTTTGTTTGCTTGTCTGTTTTTTTTGTATTTTACTTTATAATTAGAAAGAGAGAGAGAGAGAGAGAGAGAGAGAGAGAGAACTCTACGTAAGCTTGAAAATGTAAAGGGTTCATTTGGGGTGGGGGTGGGGATTTCCTGGTCTTCTAGATGAGGGCTAACATTTTGCACTAAAACAATCTAGTGTGTGGAGGATATGAATGGCACACAGTAGGACCCCCGTATCCATGGGGATCAGTCCCAGCCCCTGTCTGCGGATACCGAAAAACGCGGATTGTAGCAAACACTATTTTAATAGTAAACACAATACATAGCATGGTCTCTGGCTCCCTCTTGTGGCCAATTCTGGCAACTTCCTCATTCGAAACCTATATTTCTGGGCATTTTTTTTCCTTTAATATTTTTTCAAACTTTTCAGGCTATGGTGAAGTGACTCAGTGGATACTGATCCTGCGGATAAGGGGAGGTCCTACTGTACTTCCGAGATAACCTGTGGTTCATGATTGTATCCTTCCAAACGGTAAAGAAGAATGTTTTACCCTAAAGTCCTCGGGCAAAATAAAGAATGTAACGTGAGAATGAAGCCCATAAGAATCGGGCTCCCCGGAGTGCCTTAAGCCTTTTGAGATCACGCGTTTCCCTGGAAGAGGAAACGAAAGCGAACGAGATCGGAGGGAACTCCGCCCCAAATCCCCTCGGATCTGGTTCCCCTTCCTTGGTTTACAGGAACACGAGCGATGTGGCGAGCTTTTTTTTCGGAGGGGGCTGCTTCCTGACTCTTGATCATGCAGAATGTGAAATGTAAAAGGCGTCCCTTTAGACCTGATGTAAGGTGGGGGGGGAGAAAAACCTCAGAGTATTTATGGTATGTCTGCACCTTTATTCTTAATGCTTGACTGTTAGCAATATTATATGTGTATATTATATCTCACGCACCTTTCTAAAGACGATAAATGTGTAAAAAACGAAACCCTGGTTGGACTTTATGGTTGCCACGTTATAGAACAGGGAATTTAGACCTTCCTCTTTTTCCAGATTGGAACGTAACTCCATGTTGCCTGGTAGCTTAGCATGGCTTTTATCGGGGGTTCGAAACCAGGACTCCCCCTCCCCTCCAAACACCACAATTTGGAGTAGACTCTGGAATCTAATCTGGACGGCAAAGGTTGGACCGCGTGAAGCCATATCCTTGTCCTCCGTTCCGCCGGTTGAGATCTTTCGATCTCTCTTCCTTCCTTGCCCTGACTAAAATAGGTTTTAATTTGGGCTTCAAATCTTTGACGTGATCCTGGGTATGTCTTTTTTTAAAAAAAAAACAAGCAAAAAAAAAACCCTCCAAAAAACCGGCACACCACCAAAGACTGTGCTGTGTATTGATTCGGAAATTCGGGTTTAGAAATTTGTTTCGTCAGCCTGAAAACTCTCGTTCGGGGTGGCCTTCCCCAGCTTGGGGCAGGGAATGGGGTTGAGGGCAGCACTAAAGTCCGTTATCTTCTCCATTATCATGAGAGGCAACCGTTTGCAAGACAGACTTTGATTTGGATTCCAGATGGGCACAAACCAGCAGTTCGTTGGTTCAGTATCTGCGTGGGATCATTTCCAAACTGCCCCTCTGTCGATGCTGAAAAACATGCAAGCATCCAACACTAGACTTTGCATGATCTCTGGCTCCCTTAAGTGGCCAGTTCTAGAAAATACACCTTGGAAATACATATAAATAGGTGTTTCTGGAGGGTTTTATTTAATAGTTTCAGCCCGCAGATAAGTGAATCAGTGGATAACTGATCCCGTGGATAGGGGGAGTCCTACTGTAAATAGAAGTCAATGTTATTCAAGATATGGACAGGAGCAGGGAAGTGTAGAGAAATCACTTGACTTCTTTCTCTGCCTGATGTTGTCATTTGCCTTGGCAAACGTTTGGACAAGCGTTAGCAAACCTTGCCTCTGAATATATAATACTTTCTGAATGACATTGGTTTCTTTCACCCTCTTGCCCATGGATCTCTGGGTTAGCTTAGGAGGATATGCTCCGAGTCGGAATTTCTTTCAATGCAACATTAATTTTTTAAAACGGACCAACCCCCCGGGGGTAACTTTCCTCCACAGCCGACAACTCTCGGGGTTAAACCCTGAGAACTCAACCGGTTCTGCGATGCCGTTTTCAGAGACGCCGTCAGAGCGCAGAGGGTGGGTGGGCGCGTGTGGTTCCTAGGCATCATCCCCTAATCGCTGCTGTGAGAGCCAGGATTGCGGAAAGCAACTGGACGTGTGACCGGTCATGATCCTGTCGGGACTGAACGTGCATTTCTGTTTCCCACTCGCCGCTAAAAAAATTTCAGCAGTGGAGAGGCAAAGGGGGGACTGGGTTTGGAGGAGTTAAAGTGATTACATTTCTGAATAGAGATGGGATTTTTTTAAAATTCATTTTTGGTTTTGGACTACAAATCCCATAATTCTCCCTTCTGGGAGTTCTGCTTGACAGGCAGACACCGAAATGTGGCTCACCTGGGAGAAAGACTTAATCTGGAAGGCTTTGAGGCCAACCATCACAAGATGCATGGACAGAACTCGGCCTA